CTTAACAAATTATATACTAAAACCTTCCTCGATAACCACTCTATCCATTGGTGAAAACAGCATGGAAATCGGTGCAGTAGTTTTTGAGTTTATCGGGAACAGACAGACAGACAGACAGACAGACAGACAGACGCGGCGGAGGACTTTGTTTTATAATATGTAGTGGTTAAGCGTATAAGAAATATGCATGTCTGACTTCATCTTTCTTTATTAAACTAGAAACCTTTTTAGCTGTTAATAATTTATTAAACATTTTTGGAATGTTTTAGAAGTAAATATTATACAATAAAACACAGATTCTTTGAGTTAAAATATTGTGACTCTTGCCATTTTTCCTTTAGCCGCTTTTTTTTTCAAGATATATCTTGCCATTTAAACAACAAGTTCCTTCCCATACTTTTGGTCAAAAAAATTGTTGTTTTCCACTATTGCAAAATTTTAATTTAGAGATCTACTTCCTGTAGCTTAAAATCCCTAAATTATCTTAGGCAATAAACTAAACTTGACAAAGATGTCCGTGAAGTTACTTTTTTGTAGGGCGCCGAGTTAACGCGAGTTAAAGGGTAATTTGCTTATTTTTTAAAAGGTTGAGTAATTTTTTTTCGATTTTCTGTCTTTATTAGGCCTTCCCAATACTTGGTTAAAATTAATTACATTAAGACTGAACCACCCTGTATATGTAGAGTTCACTCTTCCCTGCCCTCTAATTGTGTTCTTCCCGTTGAGCAGGTGTACCTTTAAATAAATAAATACATACATACATACATACATAAATAAAAACGTCAAGCTATTTGGCTTGATTACTACTGAATATAATTTCTTTTAACGACATTAACACTTCTACTTCTTTCAGGTGCATACTTCTACGCCAGCACACATAAAGTTGCGGACAAAAATGGATTTAGACTGCGGGACGAAAACGGCAAAGGGGAAGTTATTAGGAGATACCGAAAAGAAGGTATAACGATCACCTTACCCGAGGGCAAGAATTTGAACAACGTAAAAATATTCTACGTGTGGTGTGAAGATTTTGATGTAAGTACAAGAAAATGTAACTAACTTCCGTTTAATTTTATTTTATGAATTGTCAGCGAAACTGTGCTCTTAAAATATTACAGATACACCTATATGTGTCACCCACAATTTTTTTTTTTCGGCGTATAACAGAAATGTGAAGATGTAATGTAATTTATAGAAAATTTTTTATATTTTTCAAAACCTATGTTAGAAAGATATCTGATCATCGGGTTACAGAGATACAAATCTATTATCTTTTTTTAATGGAATATTAAAAAATAATAAAAAAAAAGAACGATTCCCTATAATTACAGTGATACAAAATTTGACGAATCTATCTTTACCAATAAGGGAGTTGTAGATCAAAAGGAGGTACCATAAACATAACAAATAGTAATTTCTTTTTAACACATTAAATTTATGGCATATTCTTTTAGTCATATCTGCCTTACTATTCGACGAAGAATATCTACAAATACTCAGGATGTTCCATATGAAAAAACAGCTTAGTATCCCTATAAGCCGATGCTCCGTAATCATTAATTAACAGCATGTCACCCTATACCAGTATATTAAAAGGATAAAACACGTTGAGAAGTCCAAAACAAATGCCTAATTATCCCAAACAAATGCCTAACATAGGTATTGTCATTGAATACGTTGATTGGTCACCGACTTGGTTTGATTGGCCGCAGAGCTTCCGGGCGTCGGCACTCCTTGCTGGGCAGCGCCACGTCGTGTAACTCTATTGGGCACAGGTGACAAAATCGTAGGCTGATTAGGAAGATCGTTCCATGCTCTACTTTGAGTCCGAAGACATAATGATGCACTTCCCTTGCTTTTCAGTTCAAAATTTTTAGGGTACCAACTGACCCTAGAATGTTTTGCACTGAATTTGTTAGTTGCGCTGTGACTCTAGTGTTATTACCACTGTTTTTTTTTGTGTGGGTTAGGCACTAAGGATTGTTATCTGAGGACTCCATAGAGTACCTGTAAGCTCGGGAAGCAGCATTTTTCACTGCGCCTCGTAGGAGGCCTAGTGTATGGCAGCTTAACAGCTGGGTACTCATTGAGGGTCTTCGCCGTAGGCAGGTTAGACCTAGGCGAGTAGCTTGGGGACTATGGTGAGCTTGGAACTCGTGTGGGTATTTTTTAGAGAGAATATAACTCGGAAAATATTTTAAGAAGTATTTGATTTATTGATATTTGTGTTTCGCAATAAATGAGGACATGTATGTAGTGGGTATAATATAATGTATAATTTGGAGTGAGAATAAACTCTGGCCAGGTACACTGGTTACTAAACTGCCGATGGATTGAGTTGACGTTTGTCCACAGGCAGAGATATCTCCGCTAAGGGCTCTTTTGCGTGACCTGGTTTAGTTAAGCATCATTTCCACTTCTTGGCTGTGCCTTCCAGTCAGTTTTTGAACCTATGGAACTAGAGCTCTCTCCAAGTTGCCTTTTTGGTTGTTACTCCTGTCATTGGCTTTCGGTTGGGTTCGAATTTCGTAGAATTCGGAGAATTTTTAGTATACGAAATCCAAACCTGGCACGGCTGTTGTGTCTGATATGGTTGATGGCTGCTCGAAGCAGTTTTAGGCGCGACGGTGGATAATTTGGAAAGTGAGATGAAACTTTCAATTTCCGGCTCTGGGTCCTTCAGTACATCGTCCTCAACTCTTGCTGTGATCAGCTATGCATATAGCCACTTTTGATGGCTTCGCGCTTCTAATTGGAAACAGTGAATTTTTTTAATAAGTTCGTGACCTGTATTGTGACAGTACCCCATCGCTGTAATTCTCATATTAAGAACAAAATTTCACTACAAACATTTTCTACCTCTTCTTTGACGATTTTTTTAGTTCATCATCATGAAAACTAAATTATAAAAAATTTAAGATTCAAAAATATTCTGCTGTAAAGAAGTTTTATTTAAAATATAATGGGAGATCTATCAAAATAATAAAGGCTAAACACTAAATACGTATCTCGTTAATACTGCCTCAAAAGGCGGGTATCCATTTGTGTCAAATGCCCCGTAACGTAACACCGAACATGTTACGTTACAGCTAGTGGAGACGGAAAATTGTTGCATGCTACGTGTAACAAATTTGACACGCGTAACTAATCCGGGACGAATCATCAGTTGTCGGTTTTTAGTCGTCGCATCAAAGGGATGCAACAGTACTTTCTGCCACATATTGAGACGGGGTTACCCTTTTGGCCGTAACGTTGCCTGTTGCACGTGTGATTTCGTCTTATTTTTTGTTTCGTCAGTCTTTTGTATATGGTCTGGGGTCAGTCTGTTTTCTGCAATGACTAGGAAGAGTGTGTTTTTCTGTACTTGTGCCCTGTAAAGAAAAGATTTCGGAGATTTCCGTTTATTATTCTTCAAAATTGTATGATGAATAAAAATATATAACGCTGCTGCTAACTGCAATTGCAATGACGAATCCATTATTGCAGTCAGGTTCATACTGCTAGTTTATGTTCCTGTGTCGTCTCGTAACCTTATTTTATTACGTTACGGAATGAATGATACGACCAAAACCACACATACTTTCGCAGCGAACCGTGTCACCTTGCAACAGGCTGTAACATGTTCGTTGTTACGTTACGGAGCATTGCCACAAGTGGATACCCGCCTTTAGAGTGCGCCAATTAGTGCCTGATATTTATTTCTTTCATTCCATAATAGGTACAACGTAATAAATTACTCGGTATCAGAAATTAGAACGATGTTTAATATCACATAAAGTAGATCAATAACGTTAACAAAATCACCTGCTTACGCTCCCTTAATGTTTTCTTTCTCTACCAAATTTCATGCAAGAAGTGATTTTGATAGAAAACACAGGTTTTTAATTAAAAATTGTAAATTTTTTATTGAAAATATTGCTCAACAATGAAAACGCGTTGTTCTTTTGTGTAGTGCTACATTTTTAATAATCCTGAACTGTGAACTGTAATGCTATCCTGCGTGAATTGTGGGACACTCGATACATGTACTTCCATTAAAGCATGACATGCTCAAAAAAATTGTTTATATTAATATATTGAATAGGTTTTCATAAATAAACAATAATTTATTAATAATTACATGTCTTCAAAAAAATATATAAAGTGTAATATTTTGCCAAACTAGTTTACACTGGAAGTTATTGCAAAACTTTAAATATTCAGGTACACAGAAAACAAGGAACATTCTCAAGAGAACGAGAAAATGAAAAAATTGAATAATTGTTGACTAAATATTATTAAAATAGTTATTACATCAGAAATTAGCCTTAGATTTAAAATAATACCATTGCGCCAGCTAGACTCTAAGAGATTTCAAAAATAAATATAAAAAAAAGGAAATGAAATCATTTGACAATTTTTTAAGAAAGCGGAAAGCAATAGTTACGGAAATGAAGTAAACTAAAATCTGCATTAATTTCGCAAAATTAAGAAACTGTTTTTATTAGACACATGCACAATAATATTTTGAAACAAAATTGGTAAACTAAAAATATTCTTCTAGTACAATTGAGAACTTAATTTATCGTATAAATTTAATTATCCTTTAATAAATCGTGTTTAATTTATTAGTTATCTAAAATTCTACACTACATCAATCAAACTAAAATATAAACATTTACCTGAACTAGACCTAAAGTAAGTAAGTAATAAAACAGACAGATTAACTGTATTTACCTGTAGGAAGTCAGTTTTACAAAGCCTATAGGATTTATTAAATCATAAAATTTTTTCCATAATTTATGCACCAATAATTTACTGAATGACTGTTAGTACATGATTTGCACATGGCTTGTCTCTATACAGATTTAACGACCTATATCAATATTAATTAAAGCTTTTGATAAATAATGCAGTAGATAATAATAAATGTTTAATAGGAGTATAACAACACTTTGTAGGCTGTGGAATTTTCTTTCTTTTTTCAGATTAGTCATATCTTAAAATGTTATCTACTTAGCACCTGTTCGTTTTATACAACAAATAGGAATAAAATAGTTTCACAATGAATGACAAGTTACACATAGTGTAACAGAAAATATGGGAAAATAATTTGGGAAAAGCTATAAACATATGTTTATCACACGGGCTGTCAAATACAATTATTGTACACTATAAAAATATGATTTCTAGTCACAGAAGTGACTCCATTTTCTGAAAAAAAAATGAAAATAAAATAAATAAAATTAAAAACTTCATCTAGTATTTACACTAATAAAAATTTTATGCAAAATTACACAATGGATCAAGGGTCGGCAACTGGCGGACCGCGGAAGGTAAAATACTGGACCGTCAAAAAATTTTTGAAAGTATAAATTACTCAAATAAATTACCTATTTAAAAAATGTTTTTTACGTTTAAGTGCCAATCTTATCATTTTTCTAGTATTTTACAATTGTGTGAGTGTTTTGAGTTCTTAATGGTTAGTAAGCAGATTAAATTTGAGTCCAAATTAAAATAAAAAAAAATAAGAAATATGAATTTTTTCTGGACCTCGTTAAAAATTTTCAGAAGTATCCGGACCACACCTAAAATTACTTGCCGACCCTTGCACTAGATCATTGGTTATTTTGACACCATAGTAAGTAATGTAAATTCACATCATACAACGTAAAGTTACATTAAGCATGTGATTTTACACTTTTTGAGTAATTCACCCAACATGTTTTTTTTCTACATACTTAAATATTTTTCCAAGGCAGGTTATGACATACCTAAGCGAAGGGATAATAACATTAAATAAATTTAAGAAGATTTATTACTGCAGTAAATGACACATACTATCTAGAGTAAAAAATAAAATTCTTAATTATATCTAAAAATGAAGCATGAGGTAGAGTAATCATAAATAACAAAAAAGTTGTATAACAGGGGCGTAAGATTAACAGTTTTTAAAATACAGCGACTATTAATATTGGGAAATTTCATCACAACGTGACAACAGCGCTCAACCTGCTGATGCACACCACGAGTACACGCGGCAGACTTGTCCTACG